GCACGTTACGGATGCCCCCCCCCCCCCCCCCCCCCCCCCCCCCCCCCACCAGCGCCCCGTTTTCACCCGTCCTGGCCTATAGGAGTTTCGCTAGCGGCCAGAGAGCCTGAAACAGGGGCTGCTGAACTGGAGGTCCAGAAGAAGATTGTGACAGGCACTCTCGCACCAGGACGTGTGGGGAAAAGTGCGCATTATCTTACGGAGTTGTGGTGCGTTCTGTCACTCGCCAGCTGTGTCTTCCCAGAGCTGAACCCCCCACTAATGAGGCCTTGCTGCAGAGCTGCACTTGCATCTAATGAGGTCTCCAGTCCTTTTTTAGGACACGTGCCCCCCCACACTGCTGAATGGGAGTGTCTCAGTCCTGAGGCAGATCCCCCTCCCCCTCCCCACACACACACCGCTTTGCCAGAGGTTTAGCCATATAGGATATGTGATCAGAGCGCCCACATCAACCCCAGGCCCCCCCAACCCGCTTTGCATCAGGTTTACACCAGCCACGGTAAGCAGGTGAATGTATAGTAAGCAGGAAATGAACAGGAAGTGGCGACTTGTCATTTCCTGTGTGACATCTGTTTGGGAAGCATGTTCACCAGCACTAATAAGAGCTTTAACAAGGGCCGAGTTCCTTAGTGGCACCCAGAAGGATGCTTAGGGTGCTTTTCCGCCACACCAAGTACCCTACTATTCATATGGTCCTTCTGGTAGTTTCCCTTTCCTATTGACTTCTGGTCGAGTACCAGTACCAAATGTGCCGAACCAGCTGGGGTACTTTTTTGGTACTTTGGGGTGCGAAACGCTTTCTTTGTCGATTGATAATGCAAGTAGCTTGCCTCTGAAACACAATACAAACGGCATCTTGAAAACGGGTAGAAAAGTGCCCTTAGAAAGTGCATAAATTGGTGACGGTGAGCTGTCATGTAGGAAGAAAGGGGGTGGGAGAGAAGGCTTAGGGGGCATGGAATGAGGAGCTTTGGGGGGGGGGGGTTCCTTTTTGAGATGTACCCACCAAAGAACAGTGTAAGGTTATAGGTGTTTAAGGCGATGAAATCCAGTGACGGACAAAAAGGCCCGAGTTTGCAAGTATTCAATGACCTATTTAACTGCCCGATTGTTTGTTTTCTTGCCTATGAGGAAGGGGGGGGGGGGGGTCGCTCAGAAAATAACCTTCTGCGCCTTGGCTTGGGGTGTGATAAGTCTGCACCTGCTCCAGTCGTCCCTGCCCTCCCCCCCCCAAGGCTAATGGGCTTCCTGGGGGCACTGGTAGTAAGCGGGGATCAGCAGCAGATCTCCGCCTCATTGTCTGCTCATTTCAGCGGGGCGGGGGCACACACACACTCCTACTACTGACTAGGTCTGGATGATGTAAAGGGGGCGGGGCCGGTCCTTTGACAGACAAGGGCACGGACCTACCAATGACCCCAATTGACTCCCACACTCCCATTAAGTCTAATGTGTCTGAGTTGCACATTAGCCCCCCTGCTCGCAGTGTTAGTGCCCCCGCTTGTCAGGGCTGTGAAATGGCTGTTGGTAGCAGTACAGTCTAACAATATCAGAAATCAGCCCCATTGGCCACGTCTCAGAGGGAGTGATAGACGCAGATGAAAGGATTGCTGCATTTGTCTGTGCAAGCAGCGCCGGTGAGAGGGTGGCGCAGCTCACACGTGCGAAAGTGTAGGTGGACGAGCTCACAAACGCTGTGTCCGTGTCTCTCTCTGCCTAGTCTCACTCATCACTCCTAAAATGATAAATCCTTTATTTGTCATTTGCACAAGTATGAGTATTGGTGAATTGGAATTTTTCTTTTTACCTGTCCCATCTTGCTCTCCATAGCTTGGGTGTCAGTGTGCAGGGTCAGCCAGTGTGCAGGGTCAGCCAGTGTGCAGGGTCAGCCAGTGTGCAGGGTCAGCCAGTGTGCAGGGTCAGCCAGTGTGCAGTGCCCCTGTGATTGGGGTTCAGTGGCCTTGCTCAAGGGCCCACAGACTGTTCTGCTGAGGCCAGGACTCAAACCGGCGATCTTCTGATCACGGGCACAGAGACACACAGCCCGCTGAGCCACTCATCCCCCCTCCTCAACCCTCCTTTCTTTTCCTTCACTCTTTCAGCTCTCCCTCCCTCTGCCCTGTTTCGCATCTCTCCTTTCCCTCCTCCTTTCCTCTCTTTCGCTCTGTCTCAGCTTCCCCTCTCTGCCCCATCTTACTCATCCCTCCTTTCCTTCCCTCTTTCTTTTTCTTCACTCTTTCAGCTCCCCCTCCCTCTGCCCTGTTTCGCATCTCTCCTTTCGCTCCTCCTTTCCTCTCTTTCGCTCTGTCTCAGCTTCCCCTCTCTGCCCCATCTTACTCATCCCTCCTTTCCCTCCCTCCCTCTTCCCTCTTTTCCTTCAGTGTGAATAACATCCGCCTCATTCCCCATTGCATGACTCCCTGCTTTAAACATGGCAGTCTCCGACAGTGAGATTGATGTAAATCAGTAGATCGCGGTGTAACAGTGACAGTGTCTTCTCTCCCGACGTCCTGACATTTGCCTGCGTAATTTAAATACGTTTGAGAAGCAAAAATATGGTTTTCCCATAATCCCCCTCAACATGTCTCCCCCAGAATGGATGGATGATGGAGTGGGCAGCCATTTCAACAATTTTTTTTTTTTTCTCCTTCTACGTGACATGTCCAGATCAGCTCTGGTGCATTCTGCAACGCCAAGCGGTTTGGGACATGAACCCAAAAACCCCCAGGGCAGAGTCCTGGCCCTCTGCCATTGGCTGGGTCGACTCCATGAGGAGATGAGTGCAGGGCTGCTGAAGAATCTTCTCCAGCATGATCGTGATCGATTTGGGAGCTGAATATCTGCTCCATCTGGCCGAGACTGGAACCGTTAGCATTCTGGCGGGTCACACAGCAGACGGGGTGCAAAGCCCGGGCTGTAATGGGCCACCTGGCTGCTGGAGAACAGGGAGCAAGAGGGGGAAGGAGCAGAGGGAAGTGTGTGTGTGTGTGTGTGTGTGTGTGTGTGTGATGAGAGAGACACACTGTGTGTGTCCGTCAAAGACAGAGGGGAGTATATTCTGCGTTGGGTCATCTGTTCTTTACCATTTTCCTGTTTTTCCATCAAACATTAGGTATATTGTGTTCTTTTTTTATATAGTGTGATGTTTATTAATGTGCTTTGGCAATGCAAATTGTTTGACTTGCCAATAAAGCTTGAGGGATTGAAATGGGGGTGCGTGCAAACAGAAAGAGAGGAAGAGCACTGCCCATTTAAACGTAGCCTTCATACTCCCTGACACACGGCCCCTGATGATCCTCGCTGGAATATCCTCAGATTCTGGGTCAGAACTGTAGCATTTGCATGCCGCTTTGGAGCCCATGGTTCTGAGGAGTCCCTGTCCAAATATGGGATTTTTGAGTAGTGAAAATGATCGGATCTGACCGACTGCTCCGGAATGCCTCATTGAATTGCTAATAGCCCCAATAATTGATTTTAAATATATATTACACACACAAACACACACAGACCTTTTGGCTTAGTTGTGACTGTTTAAGATCTGGGATTGATTAAGCAGGTCTTAGTTGGGGAGCTACAGGCCTTGTCAGCTGAGCATGAGCCACAATCCACGTGCTCAGTAACGCAGCCCCAAACGGCCTTTGCTTTGGTGATATAACTTGTGATGGCTAGGAGGGCTTAGACGGCACAGAGCCGCTCTCACAGTGGGGCGTCAGAAGGGCTGTCGTGTCTCAAAATCACCAGGCTTCAAAAGTCCCTGCTCGTTGCTGGTCCTTGACAGAGAAGCCTATGAATGATAGAGAGACCCAAGCGCTGTTGTGTGTCCCCCCCCCTCAGTGTGCCGGCGACCTGCCCCCAGTCTGGAGCTGCTTTTCGGTGCTGCCGGGGCCCTGGAGGGGTGCCAGAGGCCCTCGGAGCTGCTGCATCGACTCGTTTTGTTATGAATGCTCCGTTTGTCCTGCGCTCCCCGGCAGCCGGCTGCGGATAATGCAGTGGCTTCTCAGAACCCGCTTCTGTCTGAGCCGCTGTCATGTGGCAGCGGCTGCCCTCACATCACAAGGCCTCCAGCAGGGGGCCCCCTGCCATTTCGCGTATTTCTGCGAGGGGGGGCTCTGCTTATTGGTTGCATTTGTTACTGACGCTTTTGTTTTTTCACGCTTCAGGGTAAATTTTTAGGTGTATGTAGGTTTGCTTAGATCACATTTGGGGACCAAAACGTCCCCAAAGTGTGGCAAGACCTGAAACTTCTTTACTTTTGGGGACATTTTTCAGGTTGCCTGTTGGATGACCTGACCTTTGTGAATGCAATAAAAAACGTAAAATGCCAAAAGTCTTGTACTTTGTTTGGTTACTTATGGTTAAGGTTAGGGTTGTGTAGTGGTTACGGGTGTCATTGTTGGGATTAGGGATTTTCCCTGGACGGTTCCCACAAAGGCGTGTGTGTGTGTGTGTGTGTACGTCATAGCAGGATGTTGCTTTGGGGATACTACCCTTCTTTTTTGATCTCTACAGTTCTTAGGTTCCGTAAACAAAATGCTTCAGCTTTCTAAAAGCCGCTCTCTACCGTTCTGACTGCTTCACTTCTGCAAGTGGGCACGCCAACATCCCGCTTGTCCCTCAAACCAGTTAATGTTTACACGACAAAGTGTTGTGGAACCTTCCGGCACCTTCCATACATCACTCCATAGCTCTGTTCTGATTTAATTCCTCTTACACTGATCTGCCTTTGGTGAAATACCACTCTATCTCACCCGCCGTCGACAGCGTTTGTCCTGGGATCCACATTGCGACGTTTGGGCGTGGGGGAGGTGTGTAGTTAGGGACGAGGGCATAGGGGAGCTCTCCAAAAGGGTGGCACTCTAAGCGCTCACCTTCACCAAGAAAACGTATGAAAGGGATTCTGGAAGGGCTCATTGGTACCTGAGGTGCTGAGGTATCTTGACAGTTCCCACCTTTTGTTTAGTCGTATTTCTGACTGTCACCATTCTCTCTCTCCCCCTTAGGCAGGACACCAGTGAGCTCACCGGAAGCCTACAGAGGTAAGCCTGCTCCAGCCGCCTCTCCCCCAGACCTGCCCCCGGGATGTGAGCCTCACCGTGTCTGTGCCTGGAAGCCCTTTCTCATATGCCTGCCACCTGCTGTGGCTCGCTCTGGCCCATAGCTGCTCGGCTACAGGATTTCACAAGGCACTGTGGGTACCGTGTGGTCCATTGGGTTAAACAACTGTACTGGGACCCGGAAAGGTATCGCCTCACATACAGACCCTGCTGGCCAATCTCTGTTAGCCATTACTCACCCCGGAGCATGATGACGTCAGTCGAGAGCAGTGTTTTATTCATGGGCCAGTGGAGCTGCTGAGGACTGTGAGTCTGTATGGGGTGTGTGTACGTGCACTGCCTGCGTGATGCATGTAAGCATCATGTGAATACATTACGTCACGTATCGCTATAGCTAAGAGGCTTGATCCTCATTGGTGCAGAGTGCATTGTTACAGGAAAAGACTGATCAGAGAAAAAGCTATTGATTGGAGAATGGATTGTGCGTTAGCTTTCGTCCAGAGCTGCTATTCACACTGAGGCTCTGTTTAGTCCTATTACACACGCAGAGGGATCAATCACGGCTGTTTACCCTTAATAGCCAACTGTCCATTTGTGAACTGCTGACCGCCATGTGAGGACCGCATTTTCTGAGGCTGTTCAGTGCGGTGCTTCAATTGTGAGCTGCTTTTAGAGCCCACTCCCACAGTGAGCCTTTGTGGAGAAAAAGCCTCATTGATGGTGGTTGTCTAAAAGTCATTTGAGTCATTTAAGGAGGGGGGCACCCTTGAGTAAGTAAGCCCGGGGTGCTTCAGTACCCCCAGCACTTCATAATGGTCCGGAAAGGTCTGAGGGGCAGGACAAGGAACCGGTAGTAAGGTCAAGCAAGCGCAGGATGGAGCTGGAGGAGACGACAGAAAGCACTACTGCAGGAATAGGAAGTAAGGGACCAGAGGGGCAGGCAGTGGGCAAGGTCAGCGGCTGTAGCGAGAGAGAGATGTCTCCTTAGGAAGTGCTAAGTACATGAAGCAATGAACAAGACTCAACACAGTCCATTTTTTGTGTCCTTAAACAATTCCCAAATGCCCATTTAAGGTAGCAGATTCCTTCTCAGGTGCTGATTAAATACAAAGCTGCCCTCTAGTGGACTGGAGGACTCATTGCAAAACCTGTAAACCAGTTCCAGCCTTTCTCATCCACTGTGTATTAGAGTAGTAGGCTCCACTGCTTCTATTTTGCTTCAATACTTCTATAAGAAAGGTTTCGCTCCCCGCAAGTCAGCAAACCTGCACTGTGGCGGCGATAATCTGTGAGCATGGAGGGCCGGGTGTTTACCTTCCCAGAAAATCCTGAACGGTTTGATCTCAGCAAATCCATCAACTGAAAGTGACACAGGAGAGCTGGATGTGGGTCCAAGGGACAGAGACAGAGATGGAAGACTTGAGTGGGGGGTTGACTAATTGCTTCTTTCCATGGCAATGATGTTCTCACAGAGACTAGTGCTCATATTATCAAAGCAGTGTCACTTTGTGGGGACGGCGTTTGTAACTGCTGGAGCTCCTCCAGCTGACACCTTTTATTACGCTTTTACTGACTGGCATTTGCTCAGAGAGCTGATTGATCTGTTCCCGCCCCTGAAGTGAGGTCCAAACCTCCAAAATGCCCCTTGAGCCAAACATGGGCATAAGCGGAAAGGGCGATGGTCTGCCATTTGGCGGAAAAATTCTAGAATGAGACAGTAGGTGTTTGTAATATCCTGTTTGTGGCACTTTGTCAATTTGGACAAAAGGGTCTGCTAAATAAAATCAATGTAAATGCAAGATCGGGAAACTCGTGGATTTGCTTCTGGAATGAACCTCGCCTGGGCACGTTCCTTCCCTCCAACGCACTCTGAATAGTAGGCGAGACGTTAACGTCAAAGCTGCCGAGACGTCGTCACTGGCCAGCAGGGGGGGCTATGTCACACGCCGGTTACTCACCACCTGTGGGTTGGGCCTGTCTGGGCCTCGCTTGTGTGGACACACGATCCGACAGCACTTTTGATGTCATGGGGACCGGGCCGCCCACTCGTCCGCCCGCCAGCCGTGGCGACGCTAAGCTCCTCTCGTCGTTGATTGCGCGTCGCCCCCCAACCGTCCACACCGGGGCCCCCTATGTGGGCGAGAATGCGGGCATCCTGCCGTGAGCGCTTACTCAGGCTCCGCCCACCTCCGCTCCTGCTGGGAGACTGAGGATTTATGATTATGGTCAAGTCGCTGTGAGGATCTCATACTGAACTCTCAGTACCCTGGTGCCCTGGGATAAGGGTCTTGTTCTGTGCAGGCTTCTCCTGAAGGGGGTGTACTTGAGCTTCAGCCTTTCCTTGCCAGAGACTTTTGTGATCGAAAGGCTTAGTTTTTTTTGGGTCTTCTGGGAAAACCAGTGCTTTTTAATGATTGTCTACTTTTATCTACTTTTGATTCAGGAGCATCCCATAATTCTCACCATCAGTTAAACTCTTGTTCCAGAAGAGCCCTGATATCCAGGAAGCTAACAGTGAGCAACAGCCATGGAGTTTCCTGTGATCCTACTGGCTAACTGATGAGACAGGAAGTGATGTCACCGCTGCCTCCCCTTATTTGTAAACATCCACTGCTGGTAGAGCAGTGGATTTCGGAAGATTGCATTTCATTTCTTTTTCAAGTGACGGGACGACGGGCAAAAGAAAAGCGGTGCGTTTCAGCTTTTCTCCAAAGCATGAGGGAAATGGTGGTCTTTGTTCCCCATCAGCACAGAGTCTGGCTCCCATTCAGTCTTTGCTCTACCCTCCTCCTGCTAGGCTGTCCCTCTCCACGACGCTGGAGGATATGGGACCAGCTTCATACAACATTCACGAGCGGCATTGGCCCGTAATTGGAGCGGGGCCCCAGGTGGCCCCAGGTGGCCCCTAGACTGCTGTCTTGCCAGGAGCTTCATCTGAATGCACATCAGTCACCCCCACCAGCTGACGATTATGCCCCAATACACAGAGCCACTCCTGTGATTGGCTCTCCTGACAATGGGGTGGGACCATGCATCTGGAACAGGCGACACCTCCTGAGCAGCCTCCCTGCCTCCTCGTCTCGCCTCCTTGTCTGGTCTCATCTTGTTCTCCCATCTCCTGTATCATGCTCCTGTCTCGTCCAGACTTGCTTTTCATTACGAAATGTCCTCCCATCTTGTCTCCCGGAGTTACTGCCGAGGCCTCCCTTGTGGGGCTCCCAGGGGAAGAGTGTCTGGAACTGGGTCCAGACACAGGCTGCGTCATGAAGAGTCAAGGTTTAAGGAAGGAGAATTAGTCATCGGATCAGTACCCTGACATCCTGTCGCCTGCTGCATGGATCACATGGTACAGCAAGGGGGCGCCATTCCACAGATGTATCTCGAGCTCTTTGTTGCCCCCTTTTGGGAACTGCAGCCGGGACCATCTTCTGTGTGACAGCAGCAGCGCTGGGCCGGGCCAAGGCATCTCGGGAACGAGCCTGCATGGGCTGAACATCTGCATACGATCGAGTCTGACGGCTCCCACATCTGCAACATTTCACGTTTATGAAGTCAAGAACATGAGAATTTCTGTCGCCTGCTTCAGTTCTCTTCCATCGTGGTCTCACATGCGGGCCAGCTGGCTTATTTTTGCACGTGTTCCCCTGTGTAGGCGTCAGTCCTGTGGTTATGGCACAGCTAGCCAGGCAGCATTAGCAAATCCCACAGTGGAAATGGGAAGAATTTACATACTGCGCCACCTGTGGTGGCCAGAGGTACTGGGAGTGTTTCTTCATCTTTGGGGACATCTTTCACTCCGTTCCCTTAGGTATCTGACTTATAAATTCATTTCATTTACAAGTTTAACAGAAAATTTATTGTGTGGATTGAAAATAATGAATGTTAATGATGGCCAACAGCTGCAAAATTTTGAACATGAGAAACCAGCCATGAGAAAGAGAGAGTACCACAGAGTGAAGCCAATTGGTCATCATTGGCTCATTAATACGGCCAGCTGCTATTGACTGCTTAGCATAGCTATATGTTATTGGCTGCTTAACATGGCCAGCTGTTATTGGCTCCCTAAGTTGGGCAACTGTTTCTGGTGGCCTAACATGACCAACTGCTATTGGCTCACCTGCAGTAACTTAGAGACATCGTAGCTATCTTCTGTAACTGTTAGCGGAGCCAGTGTATAAAAAAATGCGATGTGGGATACTGCCCCCTTTCTGTGTATTGGGGTCCAGCGGAGCGATCGGGGACAAACAAGGGCAGTCGTTTTCCCAAACAACGGGCTGGCTGAGTGCTCTGCCGGATTTATGCAAATGAGTTCCCAGGAGGTGTGGGGGGGGGAACTATTAAGCCAGAAGAAGGTACGATGTACGGACAGGGTGAGCGGCGGGTGCTAAGCTTGTGGGGGGGGGGGGGGGGGGATGTTCTCTGTGAACATGCAGAGGAGGCTAATCAAGCTCGCGGCGAAGCCCGGCACTCGCGTCGCAGAGATAAACCGCCACCGCCGCGCAAAGCCGGCCGCGGGGGAACGAGCATCTGCTGGCGCCGAGTGGCGGGCCCGTCATTATCGCCCTCTAAATGTCTGCTCTGCTGCTCTAATCGTTCCTCCGGAGAAGAAAGGGGAACGGAGAGCGGGCCGGCGCAGATCCGAGCAGGCCTGGCGCAGTTCGGCGTGAACGCGAACGGCCCGTATCGCGCTTAAACAACTGCCTGGACGTAACCTTACATCTCCCCTCCTCTCTTCTCAGTATATAAAACAGTCACATACAAAAGAGCTAATATACAAAACTCAATGGGGCGGCTAAAGGGCTTCTGCTGAATAAGTGTCTGGCTGGCTGGCTGGCTGGCTGGCTGGTGGTCTCTGGGCTGCGACACACTACGGGGGACCGGAGCACACGCTGCTGTCTCCTTACTTTACGCTCACGGGGCAGGAGGTCACCACGTACATCAGGAGCACAGGATCGCGCCATTGTTGTGTTTTAATTCCGGAG